GAAAAAAAAGGAAAAAAAAAAAAAAACCCAAATTTTTTTAACCCCCTTATGATTCATCACCCCCAAACTCAATCCCAGCCTTCCCTTTGTGGTATGGTACCTTGCAGTACACATACATGTGATGGACTGTGAAACTCAGATCAGGAGTTTGGGAAATTTTGGTCAGGAGATTAGGACTCAGATCAGGAGGTTTTTAATCGACATAAATTCTGTCGTAAATGTAACCATGTGCTGTAGAAATTGTCTGTTAAAGTGTGTTTTCTTCAACTTACCATCCGAATGTATTATGTTTATAGTACCCTTGTACTTATAAATTTTCTCTATCTTTTTAAACTTTGAACTTGTTCAATCTAACATTCTTCTTTTTTAGTATGTTCTTTAAATTTTTAGGTCATATCTTTTATACCATTATTCATTGCAATCAGAACATTTGCTTATCTTTCTGCAAGTAGATCTTTCCTTTATATCTATATGCAAGAAGATTTTTTTTTTTATCTTTATTATGCAAGTAGATTTTTAATGCATGATAAGTAACACATTCAAACTGTGATCATGGTTCATAGTTAGAATATAAATTTCAATTTAAGCCTTGAAAGGAAGTATAGACCCCTCAAATAATTTTCAAATTATTATTTTTTTATTTGTCCTAAGACATTTAAAATCATTTAATTACCATCCTTTTATGATTATTTGTTCAATTTATATTTTATTTATATTCTTTTAAAAATTTACATTATTTAAAGGAAAATAACTTAAAACTGGATAAATCAAGGGAAGTAACCCAACATTCATTTTAAAAACAAAGTTTTATTACACAACGGCAATTAGCCTGAGGTAAAAATCGTTGATTACCAGTATGTTTGACACCCAAGGTGACAAGTGAAGCCATATAATTATGCATGTTAATTGATTTACAGGTAAAATATAACTTCAGGTAATGTCAGTTACACCAGATATGTTGGGCTGAAATTTTTCATACATGAAATATTTCATACACTGGATTTTTTTGTCTTCAACGAGAGGTCGGGAGGAGACCCCTGAAAACAGGATTATTGTACTCCCGTTGGGAGGTTCATATGTATGTGTACAATTTCAGAGAGATCCATACACTTGAACACAAGTTATTGTCTAGAAACAAGAAAAAAAATGCTTGTTTTTTGGCCCCTTTATGGCCCCAAATTCCTAAACATTTAGGGCAATTACCCCCAAACTCAAACCCAGCTTTCCCTTTGTGATATGGAACCTTGCAGTACAATTTCATAAAGATCCATACACTTACACACAAGTTATTGTCCTGAAACTAGAAAAATGCTTGGTTTTTTTTACCCTTTATGGCCCCTAATTCCTCAAATTTCAAGGGAATTACCCCCAAAATCAATCCCAGCCTTCCCTTTGTGGTATGGTACCTTGCAGTACAATTTCAGAGAGATCCATACACTTGAACACAAGTTATTGTCTGGAAACTAGAAAAATGCTTATTTTTGGCCCCTTATTCCTAAAATTTGGAGGCAATTACCCCCCACATCAATCCCAGCATTCCCTTTGTGATATGGAACCTTGTAGTACAAATTCATAAAGATCCATACACTTACACACAAGTTATTGTCATGAAACTAGAAAAATGCTTGTTTTTTGCCCCTTTTTGGCCCCTAATTCCTAAAATTTGGAGGCAATTACCCCCAAAATCAATCCCAGCATTCCCTTTGTGATATGGAACCTTGTAGTACACTGTCAGAGAGATCCATATACTAACACACAAGTTATGTCTGGAAGTTACAAAAATGCTTATTTTTGGCCCCTTTTTGGCCCCTAATTCCTTAACTGTTGGTACCATAACCCCCAAAATCAATCCCCACCTTCCTTTTGTGGTATTGAACCTAATGGTAAAATTTCATAGAGATCCATTCACTTAAACTAAAGTTAGAGTGCGAAAACCAATGTGTCTTCGGACGACTACGCCGGACGACGACAACGACGCCAACGTCATACCAATATACGACCACAAAATTTTTTTTGCGGTCGTATAAAAACAAACCAAAATGAAAACAGGGCCAAAAATCAAAAATCTAAATACATGTTTAGATTCAGCATATCAAAGAACCTCATATATTCAATTTTTGCTAAAATCAAACAAAGTTTAATTTTGGACACTTTGGACATTAATGTAGACCAATTTGAAAACTGGACCCAAAATTAAAAATCTAAATACACTGTTAGATTCGGCATAACAAATAAATAAATGTGATCAAAGATTTTACAAATCTAATGCGCCATACTGTGCAATTAAAGATTACTTCTTGAAATTTTTCAATATTTGAAATTTGAAAAAAAAATAATATTTGAAGAATAATTCTTTTTAATTTCTGAAATCTGAAATGAGAAAAAATTGGCCCCCCACAATTTCTTTTTATCCCCCCCCCCTTTTTCCCCCAAAATTTCTTTCCCTCAAGATATGGTTATAATCTCAATTCAAATTTCCAATGGAGTTGGCAACCATAATTACCCATTTAAATATTTACCATAGTGCTAACTTAATCTATTTTATAATAGAATTAATAAAAATATAGTGTCAAATCTTTCATATGGATTTTTTTGTAAAAAAAAAAGATGAAAACATTTGCAGATATTTTTACTGGTCTTCCTTTATAAATATGCATTTCTTTAAACATAATTTAAAAGCAGTGTAAGGGAAGTAACCAAAACGTTGTATTTGGATTACCTCCCTTACACTGTTTTAGATTATCTTTATTGTTCATTAACCATTACTTTATACATTATTTAAAAGCAGTGTAAGGGAGATAATTTCAATGATGTATTTGATTTATCTCCCTTACACTGCTTTAAATTATGTTTTGTACTAAAGTATTTGTCCATTAACCAGGACAACCTTGTTTTTCCCCCTTTTTTGCCCCTAATTCCTAAACGGTTTGAGCCATAACCCCCCAAAGCAAATCCTAACCATCCCTTTGTGGTATGGAAACTTGTAGTATAATTTCAGAGAGATCCATACACCGTTCCACAGTTATTGTCTGGAAACTAGAAAATGCTCATTTTTGGCCCCTTTTTGGCCCCTAATTCCTTAACTGTTGGTACCATAACCCCCAAAATCAATCTCAACCTTCCTTTTGTGGTATTTAACCTTATGGTCAAATTTCAAAAAGATCCATTCACTTAAACTAAAGTTAGAGTGCGAAAACCAATATGTATTCGGACGACGACGCCGGACGACGACGACAACGACGACGCCAACGTCATACCAATATACGACCACAAAATTTTTTTGCGGTCGTATAAAAAGCATTTAACATATTTAATTTCTTTTTTTTTCACCTTTTTCATTCTAATGAATTGACCAGCATGTAATTTCAATTCCATCTTATGGAATTACAAGCCAAGACAATTTTTTTTTTAAAGGAAAGGAAATTAACTCATGCATGTCATAATTACAGTTTTAAATGACATTTTTTCACTGTAACTTTTTCTGAAATCAGTCAAAAAAAAAATGTTATTTTTCCCTTCTTTAGACAATGTAAGATATCCAAAATATTCAATCCCTTATTTTATTAAAATAGCACATACATCTTCTGGTGGAACTGAGAACTTACCAAGATCATTCATTTTGAAGAAGCTGTTTTTAAGTGACTCATCATAAACTTGATGTAGTTTACAGACTAGAAAATAGACTGTGAAGACTTTTCAGAAAGTATACTGTTATGACAATATTCATCCCTTTAAAGACCATTCTTTTTGTTTCTGTGGTGATGTACGTCTATTTCTATTTTTATTATTTAGCAGTTATACATAGCAGGGAATGAAGGCATGCTGATCGGATGGTCCTCCGCAGACAAACCGACAAAAACCAGCAGAGAATGAAGGCAGGCTGATCCCAAATGTATTCATCCTCTAGTCAAAACATTTACTACATTTTATCATCGGTACAAGGACGTCATTCGTAAATATAAATCAACATGCAGACATCTTATACGTTCAGGTATTTCACATCCAATCTTTTATGGTAATATTCTATACAAAGAACAAAAATGTCGACATTCACTTCAAAAGTTAACCAAACCATTAAACAGACTTATACAGAAGGGATAGTTACAATACTGTTGTCAGGTCATTAAAAATGGCATATTTTGGTATTAATATTTATTCACTCATAGGGTCTTTGCATCAGAAATAAACACATTTATTCTAAAACCAGTTGTTGGCATGATACGGGTTATAGTTACCAAATTAAAAAGTGTTGGGTATGTGTAGATACACCATAGGAGGGACTAAATTTAGTCCATCCTGTGGTGTATCTACACATACCCAATCAAATTTTTAATTTGGTAAATGACATGTGTCAAAGTTCATTAGACGTCACAATTAACTGATATCACGTGATGAAAAGTGCCTTTCCCGCTGAATTATCAGTTTGCGCGTTTCAGTCGTATGAAATGGCTGCAAAAATGGAGATCAGTGACATTGACTTTTTGAATGTAATTCCTGAATGGGACAACAGTATAGACGATCTTACATTATCACAAACATGCAAAGATGTTGAAAATGAAATTACTGCTTTCGAAAAGCTGGAGGATTTAACTCTTTCTCAGGCTTTGGACCAATATGAAGTGGATTTTGAAATGGATGACCTGCCAGATTTTAAACTTACGCAGGTTCCCCTTACGGCGGATAATATTATTGAAGAATTGGAAAAGGCTGTTACTGTGAATTGTAAGGAGAATTCACGCTATTCTTTTGTGGAAGATATTGATATTGATAAGTTAGTTAAGTAAACTGAAAGCAGAAATACACGGAAAAATACTACTTGGAGTGTCGCCACATTTAACGACTGGAGAGTTGCGCGAATGAAAAGTAATTATTGTGCTTTCCAGAACTTTTACAGTTTACCGCCAATGATGTAAATCAGTGGCTTAGCAAGTTTGTAATAGAGACCAGAAGAAAAGATGGTAAGCCGTATCCCCCAATTCACATTATATCTTTTATGCGTTGGCATACTGAGATTTCACCGAGAGAATGGTGTGCATATGAACTTTTTGGACGAAAAAGACTGTGTATTTTATGATTTCAGACGTTCTTTAAGCGCACGCATGACCGAACTCACAAAACAGGGTATAGGCACCACTACTAAACAGGCAGAGGCGATAAGCGAGGAAACAGAAAGCACTCTCTGGGAAAAGGGTTTGCTTGGGAGTACCAGTTCTAAAGCTATAATGAATACCATGTTTTTCTATAACAGTAAACTTTTTGGACTCAGAGGTGTAGATGAGCATCGGAATCTGTCCGTGGACCAGTTCGAACTGGGAAAGGATCAGACGGGAAGCTATATATTATTCAAGGGCAGAGCCAACAAAACGTACAAAGGTCAGTTAAATTTTTCTTACATTTTTTTAGTATTTTCTTTTCTTGTGTATTTTAATTCGTTCTTTTTGTGTAATTTGGTCACAATACTTGACTGACGATTTTCAGAAAATCCGGGTGTCTTCGTTGAGGTCCGTGCTACAACAGGTGCTTCATTTATGCAAATTCATTGTAAAAACGGGTATATTATATCTTGCGTAGCGTGTATGCTTATTACATTTTACCTAATCCAGGCAATATAAAACTGTTTCATATTTCATTAATTAGTTTTGTTCAGTGTATGTTTTAAATGTCACTAAATGTCAATACTTCATTTTTTCAGGTGGACTCAATCAGCGGAACTTAAGTGCCAAAAACTTAAAACACTATCTACAAAATCCAGTACTTTTTAAGATATATGAACAATATTTGAATATTGTACGTGATTTAAATGGAACAGCCTTTTACAGGAGACCGCTAGATAAAGGAAGTATTAAGTTTGGTGAACAGTCGGTAGGGGTCAACAAATTGTCTAATATCATGAAAACCATGTGTGCAGAAGCCGGAATAGATGGGTATTTCACTAACCACTCTGGTAAAAGGACATGTGCCACGACATTATACCAGGCAGGAGTCCCAGAACAAGAAATCATGAACAGAACAGGCCATAGGTCAGTGGAGAGTGTTAGAAAATATAAAAGGGCTTCCAATGAGATGTTAAAGGATATCTCAAATATCCTTGAACCGAGCGAAAGCATTTGCAAGAAAATTAAACATGGAGACAGCACAGAAATTCAGAATCGCACAGAAAATCGTGAACCATCAAAAAGTGCTACAGGAGGCGTTGGAAGTTTGTTCACTGGATGTGTGTTCAATTTTAATAGTGGAAGTTAAATATATTTGTGATTATTTCAGTATTTCATAATTTGTGGATTATGTGGTGTCTTTTATTCAAAGGAATATATGCATTTTGGAATATCATCCTTTTTTGTAGTGAAATGTTTGCATAATGGAATTTTATGCATTTTTTTTTGTAGTGAAATTACCAGTGTGCCATTCTCCAGGATCAGATGATTTATATATGTGGCTTCTAGTTTCACATTTTTTAAAAATAATACAGTTATTAAAATTCATTGTTGTATTTATTTTAAGAAAAAGAAAGGATATGGGGTATTTGCCAATGAGACAACTACCCAACACTATAGTTTTAGCAAAAATTTAGAGTTGAAAAATATATCAGGAAAGAAAATGTTACATTGTAGGTTCTGGCTAAAAGTGTGAGGTATCTAACATACGCCACATGACTATTTTCAATCTTCTGGTAAACCAATCAGAGGGTTGATATGGAACTGTGGTGTATGTGTAGATACCCTCACACTTTTTCAATGGAAAATTAAACAAACTATGGTACATGTTATGTTCTTCTCATATATTTTATGATGGTTTGATACTTGACCCCTTACGGGAGGGATTGTGCTTGATATTCATATGATGAAGACATAATCTTTCAGTCAGTTTAATTGAGGTCTGGAGCTGGCATGTCAGTAACTGCTAGTAGTCCTTTGTTAATTTATGTATCATTGTCATTTTGCTTAGTTTCTTTTGTTACCTATTCTGTGTGTTTGTTTATTCTACATTGGCTAGAGGTATAGGGGGAGGGTTGATCTCACAAAACATGTTTAACCCCCGCTACATTTTTGCACCTGTCCCAGGTCAGGAGCCACTGGCCGTTGTTAGTCTTGTATGTTTTTTTATTTTAGTTCATTTATATGTTTTGGAGTTTAGTGTGATGTCCATTTTCATTGAACTAGTACACATTTTTATTTAGGGGCCAGCTGAAGCCCTCCTCCGGGTGTGGGATTTTCTCGCTGTGTTGAAGACCCATTGGTGGCCTTCAGCTGTTTTCTGCTCTTTGGTCGGGTTGTTGTCTCTTTGACACATTCCCCATTTCCATTCTGAGTGATCATGGTGATTTTATCCTCATTCAAAGGCAATTCAAATAAGGGTGAAAAAATATAAAAAGGTGTTTACAGTAGTTTTTCAAAGTGTTCTGTGGTGTTCCATGGTATAGATACCTACCATGTCTGTACTGCATGGGCTAAAAACATGAAAAACAAATACATCATTACATGTGTCAGCCAGTGAGTGAGCACATAAAATTGATATTAATTCAATTCATTGAACTGCTAATACCTTCTTTTAGAAAACACACTGATTACGAAACAGTCTTTTGTTGATCAATTTATACTTGGGATATGTCCTTGGTTCATATCATACATTTGTAACTCTCAACTCACTCTCAAGTGATTCGGACTGTGGAGAAAATTCTACTTTCAGTTTGTACTTTCAATTTGTATTTTATAGTAACTGGAGTTCGAACCCGTACCCGTTATTCTTTGAACTATTGTGAACTTTTGTCAACATAACTAGAATAAAATCTTTCATATAAGACGAGGATATTTCATAAATTCTCTTAATCAACAGTCATCATGTCTGAGCATACTACCAAAACACGTTTGTTCATTCTTAATTATTGTACAAGATTGTTCTTTCTTTTAGCAATTGTATACTAAAACTCACAACGTAGACGGACTGATATCCGAAGTTTAACTTGTTGGTGTTTGAGGTAAATAATTTATTTGAATGTATCTTTGCTTTATACATCATTTATAGTTGAAAAAGTTCACACTAAAATTAACCATGCAATAACTGAGTTAAAAAAACACTGTGTCTGAGCTCAGACTACCTTAACACTGTGTCAGGTCAAAGGAATATCTTCGTGTCAATCAATAACTTGAATAAGCCAGGACTTCTACTGACCCCCTCATCTTGGAATGTCCTAATTAAATTTCTCATAGCATAATAATATATATATTATACTTATTAAAAAATAAAAACTTATATAGGTGTGCGCAGCTTAACAATTCTATATCTGTCTGTATCGTTATGCCAAAATTTGGCTTTCCACGGGAGAGAGAGCATCTATTGTCGGTGTTGCCTGTTGGAGAGCTGTTTTGAAGCTCTTGACTGACTTGGTGCACACTACATCTTCGTCCAGCCGGTAGGTCTTTTCACCGCAGAACACCACCGCACATCACCGAACACCGCAAAACACCGCCGAACACCCCAAAATAATCTAAAACTATGAAAAAAGACAATATTTTATTAGGTTATCTTATCTATTTCACGTATTTTAGTAAAAAGGTTAACAAATAAAAAGGAAACGAGACCAATTAATAACACCCAAAAGAATAGAAGAGTCATCAACACTGCAAAACACCACCGAACACCCATAATTATACTTTTTTATCATTTTTGTAATTAAGTAAAAAGATTAACAAATAAAAGGAAATGAGACCGAATTTTAACATCGTACAGAATAGGAGAGTAACTGCGGGACCTAATACATTCTATTATTGAATTCGGTTCCATACCTGGAAGAAGAAAAAGAAGAACCCACCACACTGAACACCGCAAAACACTGCCGAACACAAGAAATATACAGTTTTTGTCATCCAAGCTCCCATGTCCTGAAATTGTTCAGTAAATTAATATTCCGATGAAGTGTCGTTTTTGTCCAGAATAAAAAATACAAACAAATATTTATAAAGAAATATAACTTTTATTTGTTTGTTTGTTAAAAACTAAGGCAGTATCAGGAAGGCGAAATTGAACTACAGAATGACAAAACAGACCCTAAAATGACATAAATATATATATTGAACAAAATAAAAAAAAGAAGTCATCTGCCCAGAACCAAAAAAATACCTTGAATAATTATATTGAAATATACATTGAATCATTATGTATTTGATTCACAGAAACAATGACATAATAAATAGACTTTCACAAACGCTGTGTGTATTCTCCGTTTGATTAGTTTTTGAAATTGCGAAAAAAAATCAACAAATTCAACAGTTTTCTGCTTTAATTGACACACATTATTGATTTTTTAATAGTTTCAATTCACTTTTGGGGTGTTCAGTGGTGTGCGGTGGTATTCGGCGGTGAAAAGACCTACCCTCGTCCAGCTGGTTCCAATGGATCACAGTCTTAACGAAGAATGAGTTCTCACGGCATATTTTGTTAGTGCTAAACCAGTTTAAGTTTAATAAACTTTCAATTTGTTGGTGAAAACCAGTTTGAAACTAGTTCACAAACCAAAACTGGTTCCATAAACCATTCAAACCGCGTCTGAAGGCGGTTTGGGGTTTAGGTTTAAGGGTTAAAATGGCAGCAATTTTAATGCAATGTGGCAGATGTGACAAAATTTATGCAGATTCAGATGCTTTCAATGACCATGACAGTTATCTTAATGAATTGTTCTACATAATTAATTGTTGTTAATTCTAAACACTATTTGTTTTGTTCATTCTTTTGTTATTTTTTCTAGTCTGACAGAAGTCTTTTTGTATTTGCAATTTAAAAACACTTTAGATTCTTTACCAATTTGGAAAATACTGAGATGTGGAATACATGTCCATGAGTTAACTTGATCCAATTAAACAGCAAAATGTCAAACCTTACTTGAAGCTGTGAAGTAAATTGAAATGACCTTCAAGTACAAGAGCAACATCTACAATTTTTAAAGTTTGTGATTAGATCAGTTTAATGGGAACCATTATACATATGTTTACTAGTTCAGTGGTATTTGGTATATATGTGCAGTTGCATTAAGATAAGCACAACTCATTTCCATAGAAATAGTTTGGCCCCTATTTACAATCAGTCTATATATATTAAAAGTTAAACTCAGAGTTTGTGATTAGGTTAGTGGATGGGGAACCACTATTGATAAGTCATTGATATTGGTATGCAGTTGGCACATCTCATTTCAAAGGAGATAACTATAATGTGACTCTGTGTGTCTGTCAGCATCTTTTCCATAATTTGACATTTTATAATTCATAGACTTTGTGGCTAAATTTTAGGCAAAAATCGTGATAACTCATACAGCATTTATGACAAACTTTGTTATCATAGATTACTCTATATTAAATTCTATGGAATGTTTTTTGTCATTTATTTTCACATGGAAAGATTGTCTACAATTGTATATCTCTTCGACTCTGCAGTGTCAGAAGGATTATGTACAGTACAACCTGTGACTTCCTCTTAGTTATGTCCACCCTCTTGTATGGTCACCATCAAATGGTGGCCATTTATTGGGGTCATAAAACATAGGTTGATGTTTTATCTAATTATGTTACCTGTTGAAATCAATCAGGGTTGAAGTTTTCGGTAAACGGACAGAAAGTCACAGGACAAAAAGTCACAGGACATAAAGTCACAAATTTGATAGGACAAAAAGTCACAGGACAAAAAGTCACAAATAATTTGTTGACAATTGTTTGAATATATAAGAGAAAGATCTGAAATATTTTCTTTTTATTACAAATATTCATTTTTAAGTTTAGGAAATTGTTCATAAGCCTTAATAAATGAAAATTTATTAAATTCTAATCATGCAAAGGATATATTTCTTGCCACAATGAAGCCATTTAAGTACCAAGCCACTTTGACATTTTGTTTTCATAACAATCATTTGATCATTATTGACATTTATTGAATACATTTTAATTACAAAGTTGCTTCATATATAATAGTTCAAGAAAAAACAAAAATTTTATTTTTTAAATTAGTGTTTTTTTGTTTAAAGAAAAATAATCTCAAAACTGAATTGTGACTTTTTGTCCTGTGACTTTTTGTCCGTGACTTTTTGTCCATGACTTTTTGTCCTGTGACTTTCTGTCCTACATTCATAGTTTTCAGCTTGTATGTTTCATTAAAATTTACCTGTACAGGTAACTCAGGTTTCTTCTCAAATTGACATTTCACCTTTTCTTGAAAATGTAGAATAGAATGTTTGTTTTAGACTTTGTTAATTCATATCATTTGTTGATTTTTCTGTCTTTAAATTTACATATTTTCCTTTTTTTCTAATGTTTTTATTTTTTTAATTTATTATTATTTTTTATTTGTATTTTTGCTTCTTATTCTTTTAACTTCTTCTTGGAAAGAATCTTGAGTAGAAATGACAAAAATTCAAAGATAAGTTATTGACTAGCATTTGAAAACAAAAGAGAGAATCCTTTAAATAATTATTCTTTCAGTAAGAAAAAAGTTTTTGTACATGATGTACATGGTATTCTATTGTTCGTTTGCATTATTAAATGAATTATTATTAATTATAACTTATAATCATGCAAATGATATGTTCAAAGGAACCATGAAGCAAGTAATTTAACAAGCCAGTTTATTCACAAATTTAAATTATCAATATCATGAATATCAATCCTTTAACAATAAATTTTGTTAACAAAGTTGTACAATCTATTATCATGATTATTATTCAGGAAAACTACAAATATCATTATATGGTATAGGAATAAACTATTTTTGTTTATCTTTGATATTTTTCAAATCTCAAAAGGAGTTTTTCATGAAGAATCACTAAAGAGACTTACAAAGAAATTATTTAAAGAAAAAACTATCTTGCTTTTTGAAACAATTGTAAACTTATCAAATATGTTATCTTCAGTTTGGCTAATTTTGTCAGTTAACAGGCAAAAATTGTCTCCAGAAAAAATAAAGTACACTTCTATATAGATTGTGACATTTTTATGGTCTATTAATTAAATCACTCTTTGTTCTGTGTATTATATTGTCGAAACTGCAGGACTGGCATATGCATGATACATATTCTTGGTATACATTTGCAAAGAATATTTCACTCAACTCATGCCTTTTAGATAAAGTTAATAATTGCAGGGACTTGAATGAATTAGATTCTTTAAAGCCCTCGATTAAAAATGAATGTTAAGAAAAAAAATAGAATATTTTTGAAAATAAAATAAAAACTTATGATAAAAACAGTCAACTCAAATGCTTCACATAGTAAAGAATTAGAGGTCATAATTTAGAAATAGAAAATGGTGAATAAAAATTCCTTTAACATGTTTAAAGGATAGAATTGTTTGTAAAATTAACATAACAACTTAGAGATAATCTATTTGAAAATTGTTTACCTTCTCATAATAATGTTTCTGACCAGTTTATGAATAAAATCTTGAATCTTATGAATAAAATCTTAACCAAGAACAAAAAGAAAAAAAATTGCTAAACCTATATAACATGGAACATGTTTAAAATATTGGCTCCTTTAATTTATAAAAGAAAGTCATTAGAACTGAGGGCAGAAACCTAATAACTTTTTTCCATGTGTTTTGATTTCTTATAGAATTATTTCTTTGCATTATAATGTTTGTTTTGGGTTTTTTTTGTCAGAAACTTGATTAAATTGTAATATGTTTATATGACAATAAAAAAAATATCAAATTTTTCTGTAATGAATATTTTGAATATACATCATGTACATGTATTTATTCAATACAGTAATAATGAATTGCCTAAATTTTATTAAGAATAAGTCCTAAAGATAATCTTAAACATTTGTTAAACAATGTTAAATGCAGTAAGTATAAACAATTTTGATTTTAGAAAATTTAATTTGAGAAACACTTTTTTAATGGAAAAAGGCAGGCGTTGTGAAAGTTTGCATTATATTAGAAGATGATATTCATTTATTATTCACTTGCAAAAAAATACATGTAAAAAATAACTTAAATTGATAGAATTATTTAAAAGTTATAACATCAAAACAACATTTGCAAACAGTCATGAGAAAATTTTTACAAAAAAAAAGTTAGGAAGCTATATGTTCAACTAGTTTAATTATTTCATTTTATTTTAGAATTTTCTTGTCATTATCACAGTTATTAAATTTGACAAACACAAAAAGTCATATATTTTTCCTGAGACACTTTACCTGTAAGTCATGTAATTTTAACACTTCAATGCAGTCATGATTTCTCTTTATCCTTGACTAGTTTTTGATTAATACCTTGTGTATTAATTAGGCAGCAGGGGGTATAATGATGGACATTTAGGGCCATCATGGTGACCATATTTTTTATGGCCACCATTAATAAGATAATGTCACAGGTAGTACTGCACCTCAAAAAGGTTATTTATTTCTTCCATATCACTGGCACCTTCTCAACCATGTCATCATTTTGCAAGAGGCATAGCTCATGTAGCACTTAACAGGTCAAATTGACTTTAACCGCTTTATTAACATCTCATCAGTGTTGTTTTCAAAAGTTCCATAAATTGGTGAGTTTTTTAATACACAAGAGTTGTGAACCAACATCTAAGAAATGTATATCACTATCACAAATCCCCTGTAGATTTATTGAATGGAAAGATTTGCTGTTTATGTAGTTCTTGCAAAACTCTCTAGGTGTGTGAATAGGAATGTGTGTCCTGTCAATTGCACCTTCCACACCAGGAAATCTCCTTTTCTCTTTAAACTTCTGTACAATTTTAGGAAACTGATTTCTACTAGGCCATGTTATGTATTTTGATGGAAGTTTTTCACATATAATATCACAACAGCAAGATCTCTAACAATCTGAAATACTGAGTACTTACAAACTCCGTAAATGTCCGCAATTGCTTGTAGAGTCATCTGGCTTGAGACATACTTTATGTAAATAAGAACCTGTTTCTCTATTGTTATGGATCTAGAGTCCTTAATAAAGCCTCTTAACTCCCCTACCAGTCTACGGAAAGTGGTCAGATTTATCCGAAAACATCTTCTAAACTCTTCTTTGCTGTAAGTTGAAACCACACAATCAATATAGTTGAGTACCTGTGGAATATGAGCTCTGTTCTTCATAAGTAGAATGCACGATAGAATTATGTTGTAGCTGTTTAAGATTGTGGCATGAGATGCAAGATCCTCGTCATCTTCATTCATAAGGTCAAACAGCAGAGCAGAAACAAGTTAATATCTGACGCCATTTTTTAGAATCAACTTTACATTTGTTGAAAAAATCTAAACCTAAACCAGTTTTGAAACCTAACAGTAACAGAGCTCTGTTTTGCAATTTGTTGTATCAATTGCCTTTGAGTTTTTCTTGACCAAGTTTTTTTTTTCTACATGTATATTAGTGCTTTCAATTAACACGAACTTATAAATTTATAAGGGTTCCAGTTTTCGCCATTTAACGCAGACTTAAAATTATTCAAAGCCTTTGCCGTCACTGTTAAATCTGACAGGTTATCCCACTGATCCACTACTCTAATTGAAAAAGTATTTGTGTTGTCTTACACTGTTTCTTAAATAGTATTAAAGAGTGACCTCTGGTTGTATTAGATGTGCTAAAGTAAACATGTAAATAGATTCATCCAGTTGATATCAACAACATGATCAATACCATGTAACACTTTGTAGACTTGAATCATGTCATTTCTGTCTTTAAGTATGGGTATGGAGACCAAACACATGTAGCATATTCCAACAGTGGACGAACAATTGATTTATAAAGAGTAAGAAACATATCCTGATCCATTAAGTAGAAGGAATGATGAAATAGGGATAAAACTCTCTGTGCTTTATTAACAATACTACTTATATGTTTTTCGAACTTTAAATTTGACTCGAAATTAAGTTACTTCAAGATGCTTTTCTTCATTCACCTTAGATAAAGCAATAAAATTTTCTGAATCATCTAACATGGTATAACGATATTGTTGGTCATTGTCAGGATTAATAATAATATGTAATACTTTACATTTAGCAGCATTAAATTTTAACTTCTAAGTATTAGATCTAGACCATTCATTTAAACTGTCCAAATTTTCATGCATTAATTTACTGCGCTCATTTGATCATCCACCTTTGCTATTATCAGAGGGTCGTAATTGGGGTACCTTCATGACGAATAACGGTAAAAAATCTTGCCAAATGATTTTAACGGTAATTTTTTGGTGCTTGACGATAAAATGTACATTTTCTATATGATGATAAAAAAATTGAATGGTTTTGACGAATAAGGTTAAATTCTTTCCAAATATAACGGTAACGGGTAATTATTTGAGACCTCTGACGAATCACGATAAGGATATTTTGAGGAATCACGATAAAATTTAAATCAATTTGACGCAAATGGTAGCCGGAAATGACCGTTTGACACCTGACGGTAAAGGGCATTCCTACCCTCTTATAATGATTATCAGATTATATCTTAAAATTTAACAATATTTAAGAACTACTAGTCAAATATGAATAATTTATTCAAGTGTAAATATTTTCTAAAATTTGGGAGTGGATCGACCTGTGCCTGAACAACTTGGGACAAAACGGTTTTGACCAGATTAACTTTGGTTCTGATTGAAATGAAAGCTTTACAGAGTTATTTCCCATGGAAATAATTCATCTTTAGTAAATTATATCGTTAGAATTCTCATTTTGACATGTCTACATTTCTTGTAATAACATTAACAGTAAGTACTTTTCTGCACCGAATGCACATTTCAACAGTAAAAGTATTGTGAGATAATCAAACAGTATATAAGAATCTTAAATACTGTTTGATCTTAAAAATAAACAACAAAAGATTTTGGAGTTATTGCCCATGGACAGATCACATATGTGGAGGACATTGGAATGCTGATCTATTATTGCTTTTGAAACTGTTTTAAAAGGACATTTTTATTGTAGACATCTGTCAATGTCTGTATCAGAAGATGAAATGATTTTATCAGAAGTGTTTTAACTAAATGGATAGAGACAAGGATAAAGATTCAATTCAGTGTAAGCATAAATCCATATTTAAAGGTTAATTCTTATTTTGTCATTTCAGAAGTAACATTGTAAAAAAATTACCCTTATGAAAGGCTAGATGTGTCAGACTGACACAAATGGCCCTGCTCACTAAAAAATCTTGAAGCCATTTTTATTCGACTGCAAACAATTTTTGCTGTCATATATTGGTATAACGATGGCGTCGTCGTCGTCGACCGAAGACACATTGGTTTTCGCACAATAACTTTAGTTTAAGTGAATGGATCTCTATGAAATTTTACCATAAGGTTTAATACCACAATAGGAAGGTTGGGATTGATTTTGGGGGTTATGGTACCAATAGTTTAGGAATTAGGGGCCAAAAAGGGGCCAAACATAAGCATTTTTGTAACTTCCAGACAATAACTTGTGTGTTAGTGTATGGATCTCTCTGACATTGTACCACAAGGTTCCATATCACAAAGGGAATGCTGGGATTGATTTTGGGGGAAAATTGGGGCCCCGCCGAATGGCGGACGCCCTATAGTGATCAGTCTGTCCGTCCGTCTGTCCGCCCGTCTGTCCGTAACAAATTGTGTCCGCTCTATATCTAGAGAACCGTTATGATTTCAAAGTTTATACTTGACATGTATATTAACCAACATCAGAGGGTGTGTCATAATGTATGTACAACTTCCTAGGTCAAAAACTTTGCTTTTAGTTGACAACCCCATGTCCTATGGTAAAGATCGTGTCCACTCTATATCTTGAGAACCGTTATGATTTCAAAGTTTACACTTGATATGTATATAAAATTTTAGGAATTAGGGGCCAAAAAAGGGGCAAAAAACAAGCATTTTTCTAGTTTCATTACAATAACTTGTGTGTAAGTGTATGGATCTTTCTGAAATTGTACTACAAGGTTCCATATCACAAAGGAAAAGCTGGAATTGAGTTTGGGGGTAATTGCCGAAATGTTTAGGAATTGGGGGCCAAAAAGGGGCCAAAAATAAGCATTTTTCTAGTTTCCAGACAATAACTTGTGTGTAAGTGTATGGATCTTTATGAATTTGTACTACAAGGTTCCATATCACAAAGGGAATGCTGGGATTGATGTGGGGGGTAATTGCCTCCAAATTTTAGGAATAAGGGGCCAAAAATAAGCATTTTTCTAGTTTCCAGACAATAACTTGTGTTCAAGTGTATGGATCTCTCTGAAATTGTACTGCAAGGTACCATTCCTCAAAGGGAAGGCTGGGATTGAGTTTGGGGATGATGAATCATAAGGGGGTTAAAAAAATTGGAGGGGGATTTTTTTTTTATTTTTTTCCTTTTTTTTTTCTTTAAAATTTTCATTTTAAGTTGGTTATTTTTTATTTATATATAAAAGCAAATAATAATGATATGGTTTGATTTCATCAAAAATTGAAATATTGGGGTTCTTTGATATGCTGAATCTTACCATGTATTTAGATTCTTAATTTTTGGTCCCGTTTTCAAATTGGTCTACATTAAGGTCTAAAGGGTCCAAAATTAAATTCAGTTTAATTTTAACAAAATTTGAATTCTTGGGGTTCTTTGATATGCTGAATCTAACCGTGTATGTATTTAGATTTTGGATATTGGACCATAATAGGTAAATTAAAAAAATTTTAAGACTTAGACCACATTCATTCTGTGTCAGAAACCTATTCTGTGTCAAATATTTAATCACAATCCAAATTCAGAGCTGTATCAAGCTTGAATGATGTGTCCATACTTGCCCCAACTGTTCACAGTTCGACCTCTGCGGTCGTATCAAGCTGCGCCCAGCGGAGCATTTTATTAGGAGTTGAAATTTGAGAATGAAAGTGTATAACTGTTTTCAAAGTCCAAAGCCTGTAGTTACGGCAGAAATCAGTGGAGCGGAACCAAGCATACACTCATCATAGTAGACCCACATACTTAAAATCAGCTCAATATGTGAAAGCATTTAGAAGAAAATCTGTATAACTGTTTGTTGTGGAATGACGGATAAGGGTAAAACTATATAGCCCTGACCACTTTGTGGAAGGGCCATGAAAAGGGGAAATATATCTAAGTGACACTTTGACTATCAATTGGGGATTAGTTCTATGTATAAAACAGATTAACTTGAGAATGAAAATTTGCAGATTCAAGAAAAAAAACCAATGAATAATATGGCATACTGTAAAACTAACTTATTTTCATTGATACTTTATTTTTCATTTAGTCCTTTTTAGCCCACTTCACGACAGTTTAATTTCATGATTTTCAAATTTACTTGATGGTAGTTAAATAAGTAAGATCCAAGTTTTACATATTCATGACAATTTATTTTCATGTTAATTTTCTACAAGTGAAAGTCACTTAAATAAATCGCTCATGCTTACAGTATGGGAAATTCCTAAGAAGCTCTCTCACTATTTATAGGTTTTCATTACTTGTTAATGCTGTGAACATTTTTATACCATTAAGAATATATAATTTCAGGTTTTAAATGCAAGAAGTATGGACACAAGAAAGACAAATGTCCTGAAAAAGGAATACAGATAGAACCTCCACAAGTTCACCAAAGACTGAAATGGGTGAGTTCAAGTTAAAGTTGGCAGCATAAGTACTCTGATTTTTTTCCTCTGCAGACTGTTATAGACCAATGAGCCTCATAATTTCATAAAAGATTAACAGGAAATGCAAATTAAAAAAAAAAAAAAAAAAAGGAACTCCCACAAAAATGCCATATTTTCAGACCTTTGTTTAAAATTGCATCAAAAATGGAAAAAATTAGGCTGAACCCCACCTTTTCAAAATTTCTGGATACACATCTGAAAGGTCATAAATAATACACCATTTATAAAAAGATATTATCACCCCATTGACCGTACATAGGACAAATGGATAATTTTAAGTTGACACAATAAAGATAAAAACTGTGAAAACCAGCTGCTTTCATCTGTAAAATGCTTGTACAAGGAATAGGAAAGTAGATGGTAATCACTGGTAATGCTAAATGTTTATAGATAATTTTCCAGATGTAGTGAAATTTGATAAGCTGGTCAAAGGTTCAACCACCAAGTTCAATAGGTAAAAAAACAAATAACATTATTTTTTATAGAAAAGGAAATATACTGGCCCAATGTTTTGACTAAAAAGGTCTTTGTTAAGAAGTTATTAACAGAGAATAAAATGTAAAGCTTGCATGAGGACAGGACAAAGAAATGTCCATTTGTTAAGTCTGAGTCCATGAAAAGCCTTTAGGTAAAAATCATCTAAGTATCTTGTGTTTTAATATTAGAATTTAATGTTTAGAATTAACTGATGTTGATTGTAGAGTTTTGAAGATCCAATGAAGCACTATTTTGAAGAGAGAGACAGAAAACAAAGAGAAGAAAAAGAAGAAAGGTACAAATTTCTTTATGAATAATTATTCTTTGGGTATTACATTGTTTTTGTTGGATAATATTTCTGTGCTTTGTAATAAGTGCAAATTTTGAAATCACATATTAAAAAAACACAAATCATTGAAATTAGCAATTACAGAAACCTGTTTATCACAATATAAATGGCACTCAATATAGGGCACATAATTGTACTTTATAAACACGTGCCAATTATATTGAGGTCACTTATAACATGTATATAGAGAAATACATCTGGAGAGAGGGTCATAGACATGAGGACCATGGACTTCAGGGAAGGACCTGTTGTCCATTTTATGTGCATGCCAAATACTCATAGTTTACATTTCTTGTTTAATTTTTATTATTGTACAAATGACTTGTTAATAGTGTTTTTTGTACTTAAGAGTTAATTTGGAGGGAGGGGATAGGTTGAATTTCTTCTTTTTTGTCCTTTGAAATTCCAGTTTTGTAACGATCCATTTTTGTTGACAGGTAAGTAAATGTTGTGAAGAGTTACCTCCCATGTGGTGTAATACCTGAACTTTACAGTTTTCCAGCTGAAAAATATATTTTTTCTTACATACTCAAAATCTTATCGTTATATAGAAGTAAAATGTAGCAAGTTGATGCAATTAATGCATATTTCTGGATGTGCTTCCATGCTCAGAGTTATAATTGTGGGAGGGGGGAGAAGCTAAAATACATAGGAATATGAATTAGCAGTACAGAAAGAATATCCAAAACTGTCCAATGTCAACTAAGTTGAACTTTGACTGAGGGAGTTGCATTTTAGAAAGCATCAAAATTACTAAATTAATCAGCTGATAATTTATCAACATTCTTGGTATTTAACCATGGCTAATGTCATTGTAACTTCTACTTATGGATCAAACTAATTGTAAATTCATAATTTTTTGCAATTTTATTATTAATGTGAAAATTGCAAGGAGATAGGTGTCGCAAAAATAAAAATTACATTATGAACTTTGATTGTATTATTTGTAAGCAGTATTTTTCGGAAATTGTAATAATTACACTCACATTTGTGTCGATTGTCCAACAATTCCAATAAAAAATGCATATAATAATTTCTGAATTTATAGTATTAAAAGTAAGTTATGGGAAATGTTTTATGGCTGGAAGATACTATATTAAAATTGTGTATGGGTGATAGACATAGAGAGGTAAAAGACATTTTAAAAAGTAATTGCAGCTTTATATATTTTTCAATGTGAATCTTAAAAAGTTGTGTTTTCACAAATTTGAAGATCTAATGACGGATTCATTAACAATAAAAATTAAACAATTACTTGTTTTAATGCCCAAGACACAATAGTAGGTAGGCATTAAGTCTTCCAGTCTTTAAAACGTATGCCAAATTAGGGTCTGACCCTGATTTTGCTGTTCACTGACCGTTGAATTGATAGTGTAATAACATAAACGGTACCAATTTTTCCTGCACCAGATGCATATTTTGATAGTAAATGTCTCTTCAGTGATGCTCGAGGCCAAAATATTTGAAAATCCAAACCTAATTAAAAAATCGAAGAGCGAATGAAAATCAAATGGACAAAAAGTATAGCCAAAGCCAGGCAAGGAATGATAGCTTTGCATGAGGGAGATGTAAGTTGGGCATTGTGTCCTAGGGACATGCTTATTTTTCAATTATAAATTTTGAATGTTTTATTGGTCAAGACACAATACTCTGAAAATAAAACCATCTAAAGTTGGTAAACAAGTTTTTTGAAATATACTTCATGATTACAATTATAATTTTTTATCACAATGGCATCAAAAATATTGCATCTGTTTTACAAACTTGAAAAAAAATCAATTTATTTGTGCAATTCAATCAATAACTAGTTTAATATCACATATTTTTCAAGATGTGTCTGAAATATGGGAACATATTAATAAAAACCATGTCAAAATTTGCCATCTGCAATGTAAATTTTAAATTAATATCATAATTCTCATTCCATGTATATTAACTTATAAAGTTGCAAAATTAGAATAAACAAGATTAATTATATAATTTTATGTATGTTTCAGAGTGCAAAAGTTAAAAGAACTAATTGAAAGCTCATCTTCAGATTCTGACCTGGAAAATGGACAGAAGAATCAAAAGAAAAAGAAGAAAAAACATTGTCATTCTTTATCCTCTGATGATGAACTTAAAATGCATAGAAAAAGAAAGAAATCAAAGCATAAGAAAGTAAAAAGATTGAAAATGGACAAAATGCATTCCTCTGATGATGTTAAACATAATACGGAACACAAAGTGAAACATAAAATGAAACATAAAATGAAACATAAAATGAAACATAAAAAACATCACAAACATAGAGGTTAAAATGATTATTTATCAAGAATTATAAAAAAAAATTTACAAGGAGGTCAAGTCAAGATAATTGATGATGTCTTACAAAAATCTATTTTAGCATGCTGATAAATCATTTGATTCATCCAAATACTCAAAAGCATTATGGGGGTACACATGTTTGTTTTAATTATAAAACAAGTTCACAACTGTTTGAAATGTAGCTTTTCATCCACACATTTAGAAAGGATATATAGTGAAACAATACTTTCAAAGTCATAAATTCAGATAGATGTGAAAAAAAGTACTTTGAATTGAGAAATTATTGCGACCGAGTGAATATCACAATGATAAGAACTGGCATTCTGATATCGAATACATAGGAATTTATAGTACTCTGTTTGATAAAGGAGTAATTTTCATTAATGTTGTTCTATGAAGCAAAGACATTTGATATACAATTGACCACCAAATGGTACTGAATATCTTTGATTTGACTTCAATTGATAAATTATGACAAAATGATTTCAGTGACATATTGCTTATTATGTACAATAATATTGTAAAAATATGTGTGTATTTTGTCGCTGATATGATTTATTAAAATAAAAAACAATGATATAAATATGTATTTCTTAAATATGTAAACATAACATTGTTGTAACTCCAAATGGAGGTCAGTTACATAAATATAAACTGTATTTTCTGTTTTTAACCTTCCCAGGTTTAATCCACCATTTTCTACATACAGAAATGCCTGTACCAAGTCAGGAATATGACATTTGTTTTCCATTCATTTGATGTGTTTGAGCTTTTGATTTTGCCATTTGATAAAGGACTTATTGTTTTGAATTTTCCTTGGAGCTTGATATTTTTGTTATTTTACTTTATTTTTATTACTCACAAACTACAGTTTAATACTCACAATTTATAGGACAACTCAGTAATCACATACTATAGCATTAGGTACTCATAAATTAAAGGACCATTTAGTACTCACAAACTATAGGAGCATTTAGCACTCATGGATTATAGGAGCATTGAGCACTCACAAATTATAGGATCATTTAGTACTCACAATCTATAGGAGCATTTATTACTCACAAACTATAGTAACATTTTATACTCACAAATTATAGGATCATTAGTACTCACAAATTACAGGAGCATTTAGTACTCACAAACTATAGTATAAAAGCTTTTAGCACTTATAAATTAAAGGACCAAAAATAAGGAGCATTTAGGACTCAGAAATTAATTTCAACCTGACACACACTAATTATGTCTGCCTCATTTCTGAAACATATTGTTCATTGCTTGTTTTTGTCTCTAAATCGACAAAAATGGCCGTATGCAAGGCATAGGGATTACAATCCGGCGGTAGTGGTGGCGAGGGTGTAAACCATTTGCTTAAAGCTTTATATTTCAGAACCTAGAATACCTGGATGCTTCAAACCTTGTATACAGATACCTTATGTTACGAAGTTTCTGTCTGTCATTTGTCCATTGCCCTTGAGCTCATTTTCATGGTGCAGTGCCTGCTTGAAAAAAATTACAGTTTTTTGTTAAGTGAAATACTCACTTAGTATGAGTAATAGGATTACTGTATTTGGTATATGGGTTCCTTGCACATCTACATGTCTGTCAGGTAGGGTTCACATGACCTTGACCTCATTTCATGGATCAGTGATCAAGATTAAAGTTATGTGGTCAAGTCGGTATTTCAGATACTATAAGTAATAGGTCAATTATATTTGGTGTATGGAATGATTGTTAGGTGTAAATGTATGTCTGGCAGGTTTCATATGACCTTGACCATATTTTCATGGTTCATTGGTCAATGATAAGTTTATGTGGCTTTATCAGTTTATCAGATTCTTTATTGCGAACCAAATGAAACTCTTCCACAGAGTCGTTTCCCCTTGGTCAAGATATTTAAACTTTTATCAGTTCAACTGTCCTATTGAATAAATACAAAAGCTATTGTTCTCTGTGTAGTTTAATCACTGGGACCTTTAAATTTATTCTAAGAGAATCAGTCATTGATTAATTTATCTGATGCAAAAATTATCTTCTAAATAGATGAAAATACATATAATCAACTCACAAAACTGCATGTGATGTTGTATTTATTCAATATCAATAATATTTTTAATCTGTTCAATATATACACTGATTTAATCATAAAAAGTTGATTCTGACAAAATTTTTAGCATTGTTCTTATTCGAAATTGGATTTTTTTTTGTGTTTGTGTAGTTATAGAATACAATCAAGAAGGCCTTAATTTAAACATCATCATTTTCCAGTTTTTATTTGTCAAACACACAAAAAAAAAAATTTCAATTGGAACAATGGAAAATTTTGTCAGAAATCAACTTTAAATGTTTGAATCAGTGTTTACATTGAACAGTTTTAAAATATATTATTGATATTGAATAAATACAACATCACATGCAGTTTTGTGAGTTGATTACATGTATTTAAGGTAAAAAAGACCAAGTTGGTATATTTGAATTGTTTATATCTGTTTCTATGGGCTTTTAAAGTTTCATGAAGGTGCATTATTTCGGATTTTATGTATGTTATATATGTGTTTTTACTTAAATTATAGTATGAAGCTTCATGATATTTTTAAACTTTTAAATTAAATAGATATAAGAAGATGTGGTATGAGTGCCAATGAGACAACTCTCCATCCAAGTCACAATTAGTAAAAGTAAACCATTATAAGTCAAAGTACGGCCTTCATTAAGGAGCTTTGGCTCACACCGAACAGCAAGCTATAAAGGGCCCCAAAAATGACTAGTGTAATACAATTCAAACAGGAAAACCAACGGTCTAATCTATATAAAAAACGAGTAACAAGAAACACTTATGAACCACATCAACAAACGACAACAACTGAACATCAGGTTCCTGACTTAGGACATGTGCAAACAAATGCAGCGGGTTTAAACGTTTTAATAGGCACCAACCTTCACCCTACCTGAAACAATCGTGTTACATCACAACATAGAAAGACATTCTATAAAATATCAATTGAAATGGCTTAACTCAATCAAAAGACATATTAACAAAAACATGTGAACATACACTGAATGAATAAATTTGATCTATGACACAATGTAAATACAAAATTAATAAAACAAGGGGGTTAGATTTAAAACCATATCAGAAAGACAAGCATAACCTTGGACAAAATGCCACCAAATAAAATAACGTACACAGTTAAATAAAAATAATTTTGTTGTTCCTAGTACGAGAACAAAAGTAAAAAATTTATTGTCATACTAAACACTTATCAAAGGTGGTAAATATTAAAAATAGTGAGACGAGATATAACACTTAATAAGTAAACATTGAATAACAAAATACATTACAAATTGTATCAACAGGTCAAATAACACGAAAGTACGATTTGAGAGTACTTGCAGTTACTGAAAGCTAGTTAAAAGCCAAAAACAATTCATAATAAAAAATCATGCATCAGATGATCAGAGACTAAAATCAACTAAAACACATCCCAGGGATTTAATGTTTTAACGTCATGGACAGTCAAAGAAGACATGAATTGTGCAATGCCAAAATAAAAGTATCCACAGGCAGTAGGATAGTTAGGAGTTAACCTGTTAATAAACATGTATAATGTAATATATAGATAGAGAAATCTCTATATAGAAAATGAATGTGGATGTGTATTTATACATCCAAAAAAAACCATTTGAAAGAATACAAGTTTAGTTATGTTTTAATTTGCTGATGACAAAATCGATATTTGTGCCAATGTAAACTATATTCAAAGATCTAATTACAACATTGGTAAGATAACCTTTACTAATAAGTTTGTTTAAAGGACAAATTTTCACAAAAAAGTTGATTGTGGTAGGTGCAAATACATGTGGATCTTTTCTGTGAATAAGCATACATTCCACCAATGAAAGATTGATCTTTTTGAAGCATTAATTTGCATCTCTGCCCATGGTGACAGTTTCCTGGGAAAAAAATCCTAAAAATGGACAATAATTTCATCGAAAAGAGAAAGTCTATTACACCTTTTTATGTTCAGGCGTGAACGAAACAGGCTCTCTATAGCCTCTAGTTGCAGTTCTTGGGCTATTATACATAAATCTATAGAAGCTAGGTTAAAAGTGTAAAATGTAAAAATCACCAGAGTGACAACCTCTATCTACCCATAAAACAATTATTGTTATTTATTTGTTATTGGCCTGAAAGGTAAGTTTTTACTGATTTTCACAGTTTTTTGCTGTTACATTGTATTTTGTAAATTGTAGGAGCTAGGATAAAGTGTCAATTGCAAAAATGATAGTTTAACAAGATCTATCTACCCTAAACATCTTGGAAAAATCTGACATGCTTTTGAGTTGTTGTCAATGAAATATTCATAGTTAGCTCACCTGGACCAAAGGGCTATTTGAGCTTTTGCCATCACTTGGTGTCTGTCTTCTCTCAGTTGTACAATCTAAGGATCACCTGGCCCTATAGGCTATATAAGCTGTCGCCATCACTTGGCATCCTTAATTCTTTTCCAAATCTAAGAGAATAATTTCAACTTTTGGCTGAAAGATCCTTAGGGTATTTACTTCAAAGTTTCTGTTTTTTTAATTTCTGTCTAAGAACAAACATGGCCACCATGACTTAAAATATAACATAAGGGAAAAGTGCACTAATTGTCTCATAGCTTGAAAACCACAATACAAATATAGATAGAGAAATCTGACAATGGCAAAAAAGCTCCAAAATCAAGATATACATACAATTAATTTCACCAAATAAAATAAAATGACTCCTAGTAGGAGTTATTGAAATTACATGACAATATTGACTAATTTTGGGGTTTTTGCCTGTAATCTAGAAAACTTTAATAGATAGAAACTGTTTACAGTAAAAATGATCAGAAATACAAGATCTCCAAACATGAGAAATGATGGAAGCCAGTGGATGACTCCTTTTAAGAGCTATTGTCCTTACAAGAAGATTTTTTACTAATTTTCTTGTTTTTGACTAATATCACAACAACTATGATTGAAAGATAAAAATCTTATGACAGCAAAAATAATCAGCAATTCAAGACCTAAAATAGTTCTTATATTACTGAAATCATTGGATGACTCTTTAAGGAGTTATTGCCCTTACATGGTGATTTTAAACAAATTTTTGTGTTTTTGCTAGTTATCTCGAAATCTTTAATAGTTTTGACACATTTAGTTTTCGAGATAGTTAGCAAAAACACAAAAAATAGTCAAAAATCATCACTTAAGGGCAATAACTCCTTGAAGAGTCATAATCATATATATAACGTAAATTATCCAGCATGGACTAATTACTAAATCCAGATTAATCGAACAATACCAAAATTTTCCATGATTTAGAACTTGCAAAGTATCATAAAAGTTCACCCAAAATTGGTCGAAACTTATGTAAACCTAACTATCCATATCAATTCTTGCTATTGATTTGAAATTAATTAAGGTTTTTTTCTGCCGAAATTATATTCAATAGTATATACATTTCAATTTGTTAGGAAAGAGTGAATTGGTGTCTTCTGTATAAAAACTATAAGCAAATATGAAATGCATTGAATAATCTTAATGAAGTTTAAAGCAGAAGCCTGCATGGTGTAAAAACAACGTTGAAAGCAAGTTGTGTTTCGTTAACAATTCACTCAACGCGTCAAAACTGCAATGAAATACGTCACGTCAAATCTACGAGAAAAAAAGCTACTAGTAGTATACTGTAAGAAAACAATAACACCCATTGGGTTATGGTTTCACTTTTTCGAAAGTGCGAGTCGGCATATTTTTCTTTAAATATTCTTGAACGCAAACTGATAAGCATTTTATTATATACGTAGTAGTAAATACAGGTACAGTGTACTGTATGTGTAATACAATCAATGACAATCGTGATATCGATATCAGTCAAGGTACATAAGCTTTATCAAACCCCTACAACTCTATGACGTCACGTCATCGATATCAGTCACGCTGTTATATACTTAGTAGTAAATACAGATAAATTGTATGGTAATAAGGGGACGAAGTCCCCTATTACGGTAGAAAAAACAATAAAAAAAAAAAAAAAAAAAAAAAAAAATCGGGAAAATTTCCCGAAATTTTCATTCTACTAATGAACTCAAAATCGTTAACTTTTTTATTTTCAGACTTTTTTATTTTCCCGCATTTGCGCAGAAATCTACTTCCTTTTTCCGGTCTCGTTTGCATGAGTCTTTGAGTAAAATATATATTTATCAGTCTAGTAAAATATAGGAAGGAACGCAATACCAATTCCATTTTTAATTATTCCTTGAATGGCTTGATAAGGGGACGAAGTCCCCTATAACAGTAGAAAAATCAAAAAAAAAAAAAAAAAAAAAAAAAAATCGGGAAAATTTCCCGAAATTTTCATTGTACTAATGAACTCAAAATCGTTAACTTTTTTTTTGTAACTTTTTTTAATTCCCGCATTTGCCCAGAAATCTACTTCCTTCTTCCGGTCTCGTTTGTCATGAGACTGAGTGAAATATATATTTATCAGTCCAGTAAAATATAGGAAGGAACACAATAACAATTTCATTTCTAATTATTCTTTGATATGAAAAAACGTTACCTGATGATAGCGTTTACATTGAATATGACGTCATAAGTAAAATAACGTCACAGCTAAAATCCCTAACAACAGAACCAAAATCGGAAACGTTACGGTATTTCCGTTTCTTTTTTAACAGATTAAGAACTTAAAAATATGTTTGAATTAAAAAAAAATAATTTATAAGGGGACGAAGTCCCCTATTACGGTAGAAAAATCAATAAAAAAAAAAAAAAAAAAAAATCGGGAAAATTTCCCGAATTTTTCATTGTACTAATGAACTCAAAATCGTTAACTTTTTTATTTTCAGACTTTTTTATTTTCCCGCATTTGCGCAGAAATCTACTTCCTTTTTCCGGTCTCGTTTGCATGAGTCTTTGAGTAAAATTTATATAAATATCAGTCTAGTAAAATATAGGAAGGAACGCAATACCAATTCCATTTTTAATAATTCCTTGAATGGCTTGATATGAAACAACGTTACCTGATAGTGTTTCTTTGTTTACATTGAATATGACGTCATAACATAAATAACGTCACAACTAAAATTCCGAACAACAGAACCGAAATCGGAAACGTAAGGGTATTTCCGTTTCTTTTTTGAACAGATTTTGAAGTTAAAATATGTTTGAATTAAAAAAAATATAATTCATACAGACTTCGTCCCCTTTCACAGGTAACGCCTGCCTCATATTATAGACTTCGTCACCTTTCACAGGTAATGCCTGCCTCATATTATTCATAATGTGCTGAACTCAAAATCGTTAACTTTTTTTAACTTTTTTTTTCAGACTTTTTTTATTTTCCCGCATCTGCGCAGAAATCTTTTCCGGTATCGTTTTGGCTCGGGATTTCAGTAAAATGTTATGGGGACGTACCTTACATCAGTAAGCAAATCAATAAAACTTCTAAAAATCAAAATAAAAAATCAATATACTGATAAAATCATAATCGTAAACGTTTTTCGAACTTTTTCAAACAGTTGCATTTTCCCCTGGCGGACGCTGCAATATATGTCATACGATTTCCCGAAAATTAATATGTATGATTACCGGAAAGAGTATGGACGACAACACAATAACAATAACATTTATATTCTTATAATTTCCTTTTTATAATTCATGGTTGACTTTGCTTTAATGTTGTTGTTTTTTCGTTATACTTTTAACAAAAAGACATGCAGATTCAAAGTTGTATGAAGTCATATAATGGTGATCGCTATGATTAAGGATCACTGTGACACGTTGGTTTTGGTACATATCTGTACCTTATCAACTCGATGCTTCATAGCAACACGTCTTTTCGTTTACATTTAAATAGCAGAGTTATCAGTCTTTTTAACCATTTAAATATACATTCTTTTAATTCAGATTTTGATATGATAAAAAAAAAACGTTACCTGACAATAGCGTTTCTTTGTTTACATTGCAAATGACGTCACAACATAATGTCTTAACAATAGAACCAACATCGGAAACGTTGCGGTATTTCCGTTTCTTTTTCAACAGATTCTGAAGTTAGGTTATATATAAATACCTTTTTATAAAAAAAAAATACAAAACAACTTTCAAGGAATAAAAAATAAGCATTGTATGACATAAAAAAAATTAAACGCAGACAATTAACAAAAAAAATACATCTTTTAGTTTTAAATCATACCTTTTAATAAATAATTTCAAAAATGATTTCGCAGAACAACTCTTCTTTATCATATATTTCAATAATTTTATTAGTGACAAACTTACTGCCAAAAGAAAAAGAAGTGACACCGAAACGAAGCTGAATTTTTAATAATGACAATTGACATATATTTTTCTTATTCAAAATTATAAAATCATTCTACATAGAATGTGTCATTTACAACCGCATATCTTCATAATGATGTACCTAGATCTACATGTTACACTGAGGTATTGAGCAAAATTGACACAATTTTTGTTTTTTTATATACAATAACATGCATGATGGCTTACCATCACAAAAGAGTAAAAAAAAGGAAAATGATACAATGAGAAGAAAAAAGAGAAATCAACTTCACATCACCAGATCTATTAGCAAGAAGTGAGAAATTTGTACATAACGCGATGCAGTAAACATGGTGAAGAAACAATGAAATATGATTATTTCTAGCAACATTTACCTTGTCACACAAATTTAGACCAATGTTTTTATGTTATCACCTTCTACATTCACAGTAGCCACTTGCAAACCCATTACTCAAAGGTCATGCATCCCAATGAGATATGATGTATATTGAATTTTACAACCTTCAATCAGAGTTTAAAGTCTGAAGCAAGAAAATAAGACACTTTCATGACCACTGTTAGAGTGTTTCTACTCTATGTATATAGAAGCTGAAACTGTAACACTTATATGACTCAAGCCCATTTCTATACTGTTTTATGGTGTGATGTTTTTCAGATGTTTATAAAAATTAGGAGATGTGGTGTAATTGCAAATGAGACAACTTTATGTATATGCCTGTCCCAAGTCAGGAGCCTGTAATTCAGTGGCTGTCGTTTGTTGCTGTGTTACATGATATGTGTTTTTCGTTCATTTTTTGTACATCAATTAGGCCATTAGTTTTCTCCTTTAAATTGTTTTACATTTGTAATTTTGGGGCCTTTTATAGCTGACTGTGCAGTATGGACTTTGCTCATTTTTGAAGGCCGTACGATGACATATAGCTGTTAATTTCTGTGTCATTTGATTTCTTATGGAGAGTTGTTGGAATGGCAATCATACGACATCTTATATTAAATTTTTATCGACCAAAGATCAAATGAAGTGGATATAAACAATTATAGGCAACCGTATAGCCTTCTAAAAAGAGAAAAACCCATACAGTCATACAGTATACTTGGCTATAAAAGGCCTTGAAATTACAAATGTAAAACAATTCAAACGAGAAAACTAAAGGCCTCGACATGTTTGTTTGTTTGTGTT